ATGGCAAATTTAAAAAAAAATGTGTGAAACTATATTATGTACAATATCTTTAAACAAACGTGTTTAGTAGTAGGTACATCAATAATATGAAAACCATTTGACCATTTTATTAAAACACAAGTAGGAAACTAATCTAAATTAACGGTAAATGTAAATATTCACAGCACAAACATACTTCTAGCTCCAGAATTCGTTGCAGTAATAAAATATATCTATTTATATCGCGGGAGTTTTATATTATCTTCGATATCTATTCGTTGGATAAACAAACTATGTTGTTTGGTACACATATTATTACTTTAGTTCCTAGGTATGCAAATGACTGTAGATTTGGATTAAAATCAACAAACATTGGAGTCAAGCGAGAGTTTCATAAACGGAACTTTTCTTTATCCCACAGGGGCGGATGGGAAATAATAGTAATGCGGGCCGTGAAACTGTAAGTACCGGCCCGGTTCAAATTTCGAAAACAACTGGACCGGCTCTTTGGGAAATCTACCGAACTTCCAATAGGCCAATCCGCTCCTGGTGTCCATTGATTATCACTATGGATATGTTACATTTATGACTTGAATTTGGACAATGTACGAAAATAAAATCGCAAACGAAAATTTTCTAAACCCGAAATTTTACTTAGGTATATACGGCTTTTGAGTATCGAGCCCTGAGTATTACAAAATAACTAGTTTTGTACCTTAGATTAAAGAGACGTATATTTCTGACTGATCAAGTTAGTACTAGTTCGCTTGTTTTATTCAATCAACGTCAGAGAACTGGAACAAAAGTAAGTTTTTTTAACTCTTCGGACCTCCCGTGTTATCACCCTGCATCTTATTGTGCCACCATTTGAAGGTCCTTGTACTTTCCCATTCACTCACTCATTCGCCGTCATTCATTCCACGTCGAGGGTCGTTAAACGATAGTCGACTAAGTCCCATGGTATCCCAAGGTAATTTTCTATAAGTTTTAAATTTCATTTTTAATCGATAATCGTGGAGTAATTCTTATAACTGCAAGATATTTAGGTACCTATATAAAAATGCAAGGTGAATTTCACTCTTAACTATTTCGTCTATTATTGGAGGCTTTATAGGTACTCAAAAACATAATGTTATGTCGAAAGATCATTACAATAAAGTAAAGCTGGATAGAGAAGAGTATATACGTGACAAACTCTGCTATGCTATGACTGCTGATGTGCTAATTCCCAACAATTTGCGCCAAAGTAATTTAGCCAATCAACACAGTAACCATGGTAACGTGTAAAAAAAAACGTAAATAAGTCGTTGGCGCATCATGACGTACATACTCTTCTCTATTCGAGCGGATTCTACTAAACTACCTTACTACACTTTTTTATATCTGTCATTATTTAAATACAATATATTATTTAAATAAAGAAGTAGTTCCAACGCGGTTAACGTTTTCCTGGGGCATTGGCTTTGAGTTTTATTTCTATTATATTTTACATCTTCTGTTGCCTCCATGCAATAATAGAGGTTTTGTTCAAAACGCATCTGTGGGGTGATTTGATGACATTTATCAATTATTCGTTGTCGCAGGTTTTCCTGTGATATTGGCTGGGTGGCATACATTTGAGTTTTTAAGTGGCCCCATAAAAAATCTAACGGGGTTAGATCCGAAGATCGTGGAGGTCACTCAGTACTTCCTCTTCTTCCGATCTAAGATCCAAATCTGACGACCAGTCAGTGCAAAATGGGGTGGCGCACCGTCTTGCTGGAATATTAAGTCGTTTGCTATGTACTGATCGTCATTCTCAATCAACTCTAGTAATGCTGGATAAATAGCGTTTTCTAATAATTTCAGATACATTTGTGCGGTTTAAAGTTCCAGGTAAAAACAGGGGCCAATTATACGGTTACCAAAAATGCTAGCCCAAACATTTATTTTTTCCGGATGTTGCCTTTTTTATGCCGACTCTACAATGAATAAAACTAAACCTTACTACTTTACTTCGACCAAAGAATGTCATCTGATATCAACAATTGAAGGCCATAGGAATAAAACTAGAATTGTTACAAAAAATTTGTGTGTATTAGCACACGCCCGTAGAAAACTCGAAAACGAAAAAAATCAAGATTCGCATACTTTCCTTATCTGTATACAGACAGGAAAGTAAAAAAAAACTTGTGTTTTTACTTTGAGAAATTCAAATTTTTAGGGTCCTTTAAAGGGGGCCCCTTATTTACATATTTCTCGAAAACTGTAGAAAAGATTAGTGTTATATTTTATGTGTATCAGAAAATTATTTATTAATGCATCCCTGATTGAACCGGTGAGTCCCAAAACCTCAGACCTGAACTAGACATTTTAAATTAAGATTTTGTTTAAAATTTAATCGATTTCATCATCTTACTGTATGGTGTGCATAACTGTTAACGTACAATGGTTATACCTACAGGTTTTGTTTATACTTCTAAAATCGTGATATTTGGATTAGAACGATTTTCAAACTCATACTTCAATTATAATTAAAAACAAATAACGTTGTGCAAAGATCTTACCACTTTTCAAAATTATTATGATGGTTACAAGAACTTTTCTAGAAACACTCTATGCAACTAGACATCTTTGACCAACAGAGAAATTGTTAAGTTTCTTGTTTTCATTGGATCCACTATTGGTGGTACATTCCTCGAGAACTATTCATAGATATCCATTCATCATATTTCCTTGAAAAGTTTCTTATGATCTATTTCCACTATTCTCAAAGTCATGACTCTAACCACTGAGCCAAGTTCCTGACGATCCAGGATAAAATAAAAATTGATATATTACTGTTAAAAATTTATTTTTTAAGCATTTTATTAGCTAGCTGTAGTCCACCCACTTTTGAATTTTTGCCATGTACCAATAATTATTTAAAATCGTTTCTAGTTGTAGCATTTTCATTAAATTTAGTACAAAATCATGAATCGAATCGCTATAATAGTATGTAACGCGATATTAAACGTTCCTACATTGATAAGAAAAAGCTGTAATTAAAATATTTAACGGATCTAGAGCGATACTTTATCTAAGGTAATTTACAAAACCATTGTTTTACAACAATAAAATGTTAAACGTATACGGGAAACTGTTTTTTTAGAGTTGAATCGACAAAACCTCATTTAGTTGTAGGTGTATTTAAAACAACGATATCTTTCATTACAAACTTTTGTACTTTCGTAGAGAGCTAAAGTTTTTTAATATATTTTAGGAAAACTCCGTATATTTTGAGATACGCCTTTATTAATAAACAACGTCGACATACCATACCTCTGAAGAAAAATAAAGGAATTTCTTCAGAAAAAGACAATGGGGTCTATTCTGTAACAATTCCTTTATATTTTAACGGCCGTTAAAATATTGGCGGCCTTTAAAAATATTTTCGTATTCGTTAATTTACTTCTGTCATTATTTAAACAGATTTCTTTAAGATAGTCCTCTAATGTACTTTAAAGATCCGTTTAAATAATGACAGAAGTAAAGAAGAAAATATTTTTAAAGGCCGTTATATAAAATATAAAGGAATTGTTACAGAATAGACCCCAAGCTCTTTTAAATCAGAGGGGAACTAGAGAATCTACCGACTATTTCTTTAATCTTAATAGCTTTATTTATTTAACTTGTAACTCTAAAGTTACTAGGTACATTACTGAGGAAGAGATTGATACAATTAAGACCTTGGTTTCTCAATCTATGATTTTATGCTACAATAAAATTTGAGACCCTGTTCAATGAGAAACTATATAAATTCTAACGCGTTTACTTTTTGGATAGGCATTATAGCTTATCTACGAGTATGTGGTACACAACGGTAAAACATATTTTTTTGAAGTACGTACCTACTGCGTAGAGTCTGATTACAATAAGAATAACGCTGCTACGTCATGACCAATATTCCAATTCAATCGTAAAATGTATATAGTCTATAACTAACAATACATAACAAATAACTAAGGACCGATTCCACCGTTGTGTTAAACGAAGTTTAAAATGACATTTTTACATTAACAACGTCATTTTAATCTCCGTTTAACACAACGGTGGAATCGGTCCTAAGTAACAAATAAATAAATAAAAAAACCTGCTTTCAATAAATACATCCTCACTGTACACAGTAATTATATGAACGTTATTCTATAAAAAATTGGACATCATTAATAAAAACAGATGCAATCAATTTCATAGTATCTGTATCCCTTTCGTGTTAATAATTATAGGATTTTATAAGAAGAATATAATTTATGTATCACGTTAACCAATTTAATTTACTCTGTTTTTAATAAACTATATATTACAACCATACATCATATTATCTATTTTATGGTGGTTGTGGTAAAGAAAAAACCTACCCTTGAAAATATTGCAAAAAAGTCAAAACAAGATAATACAAATAAGTGTATTAACAGAGCCATTAATTTTCGAAAAATGTTTAAAATCATTAATCACACATTAATCGCAAAATTCTTGATTAATAGTTAAATAATTTAATAATAGATGTCAATAGGTGCAAATATTCAAACTAATATAAATAGGTACGCGGTCAATTAATGGAAAGGAAATGATATAAGTATTAAACATTACCTACGACTAATTGAATATATTCATAAAATCCATTCAAGAAGATCGTTTTATTCCAGCAAAGGCTTATTTAAAAAATTTTATTTAATAGAAACAGAACAATGTTAAAATAAAGAAAAACGCCTAATTATGTCAATTAACTTTGATTTTTATCGTTGATCATAATAGTGATTACAATATATAAAAGTTAATGACATGACTCTAATTTAGCCAAACAATCTTTATTTAAAACAAAACAAACACACATCATTGTAATAACATACGAGTAGACATACAAAATTAATTTTTTAACGTAAGAACGGAGCAGCAGACACGTCCAAATCGCTGTATCGGTATCGTTAAGCGTTAAGCAGTTGGAAACTTGAAAAGTCAAAGTCGTATCGTATTCGTAAACGTAACGTAAACATGGATGACAAATGTGTTTGACACATAACAAAAAGTGAACTACTACGTGATAAAAAATTGTGTTATTTATTGATAGATTTAACAATTACATTCTCGCACAACTTAAAAATAGTTTTTTGTGCTAATATTATCAACACCAGAAGTTGGAATCAATAAAAAATAAGTATAGGTTAGTTAAAAGTTCATTAACTTTAGTACCACCCACAATTAATTTGTTTTTTAGGTTTTTCATTCTAATTAACCAAGCATAATGGCAACGTTCAAAGTAAAGGTACTTTATGATTTCCAAGGAGAAGGAGGTACCGCGGAAATGAATATAGTAGCAGGCGAAACTTTAACTGTAACAAGGACTGATGTTGGAGAAGGTTGGTGGGAAGGTTTTAATTCATCGGGACAATCAGGACTCTTCCCTGAGGCGTACGTAGAGCGAATTAGCGGGTCTGATCCTCCAAGTATCCCTGCCCCCGTTTTACCTCCACAGAATAATTGGGGTGATGATGAGGAAGATGATGATTGGGATGATGATACAATGTACTCAGAGATTGGCAATAATCACAGTCAATCTCAACAACACATTTATAGTAATGAACAGAATCAGAATCAATTATCTCATCAATTTGATAACTTGTCTTTGGGAGGAGGTAGTAATATGGGTGATAATAAGGGCACAATAACTAAGAAAAGCTTGAATATTTTTTCTTCTTATGTTAAATCTGGATTAGAAGGATATATTTTAGGTAAGTTTTTATTATTAAAAAGAATTTCTTAAAAATTACAATCTTATTAGATAGTCTGTACTTATATGCTTTAGCTTGTTTTTTTCGTGCATTTTGTAGAGTTGCCCTAAACTTGTTCATGACATATTTTTTTAAATAATTAACATTAAGGTTATCCCTATTCAAATATTATTTTTTATGGTAACTATATATTTTTCTTACTGCTTTTAATTATGCTTATATCATAATTCCAAACAGGAAATTATACAATCTTAAGAAATTTATTTAGCAGCCATCAGTAATATTCCTAGTAGGTATTAACACAGTGTAATGCTTTAACCTTTAATTCCCAAATCACTTCTTTTAAGTTTTAAGCTTAAACTGATTGTTGTAACTACTCGAGAAACTACTCAAATTATAATGAACCTTTTTTACATTTAAATTCTGATTTAACAAAGGCTATCATTATAGCAGTTTTTACTTGTACCCAATATAATTTCCTAAAGTTGTAAGTACATAAAATATGTTTAGTTTAATACATTGCGTGTCATGCATTTCATATATGTGATATTTCTGCAGAGGCCACCTCGGAGGCTACTTCTTTAATTTTTGTAAGACAGGTACATTTCTATTCAAATATGAATGACGATATGGTATATTTTAAATGGAGAATAACTGTGGCCTCTACCAAACATATACTATAAGTACAAATGTTGTTTGACAAAAAAAATATGAAAAGATGAAATTTTGCTGGTGGAAGGTATACAATCTATGTGTTTTTGTTAATAACATCTTTTTTACTTATTATGATCATATAATACTTATGGCTACAAGAAAAAAAATAGGAAAAATGTAAAAAGAAAATAATTTAGTTGTTTCTCATTAAAACACAATAAACAGATTTATTTATGGTTGCTTAGCATCTTGCAGTAGGTATAATCCATTTTGACCTGATTTTGTATGTATTTTGTACTGAAATAAAATATTTTTTACCCTTTTTTGTGTTTTACTCCTTTTTATTATATTTAATTTTTCTTCTCTGTCTGAGGCTAAGCATAGTTTATTTCAGTACAAAATACATACAAATCATGTAAAACCACAGTGTGGCCCCCAGTGTTAATTCTCTGATGACACCTTGGGACACAGCATGTTAAAGAACTTTTCTTTTGATTATTTAAAAATGTAGTTTTTATAAAGGAGGAATGAAAAATCTTTACTAAGTAAGTCCAATTTATTAAAATTCAAAGCTAATGACCCAATTTCAGTCCTTATGACCATCATTAGCCCTACAATAAAAATATCCCAAACAAACCAAAAAGTTTGGGATATTTCTAATGATCATGTTATTTAACTAAATAGTTACCATCTTTATTAATGTTGTTTTCTTTTTATTAGTGTTTTTTGTCAATTCTTGGGTACCAACCAATAGTTTATGTATGTTTATCATTGTAGGTCTGATGATGGTCATAAGGACCAAAACTAGTTGCCATTATTATCCTTTAAGTTTTAATAAATTGGATGTGGTAAAGACTAGGACTTTTCTTTCCTTCTTTACTGAACATGCCACATAAGAGAAAGCTTACTCTTATTTTTATGTTTTATTTGTAGACTTTTACAATATTGCAATCAATAAATACATTCATTTAATGATTAAGTACCTGATAGAAAACAAGTTTTATAACATAAAACAAAATATACATATTTTTACTCATACAATGTATTTTTTACAAAGTTCTCAAATAACTATACTAAAGATTACTTTTTCCTGTCTTTCATGCTGATATAATATAATGGGATTAAATTCCCATTTTCAATATACTGATAGGTTCTTACTGTTGATTTTTTCAATTAGAAATTAGATTAAAATAAAGATTTATTAAGTGTGTGACCTAGTAATTAAAAAACATCCCGATAAAGAATAATTATTGAAAAACAGCTTCAAGAATTAGAAAGGGTAGACAATTCCATAATTCTAGTTTTTTTTTACTTTTCTGTGTAATTAATACATGTGCTATTTATTTAACTTTTGCAAGAATACATCAAATTGATTTAATTTTTGACAATATAGAACTTAGTCATAAAAGTAGAAATTACTTACATATTTACTTTATGTATACCAAAACAATGGGCCTTGTGGAAACTTTAATAAAACTATTTTTTCTTCATTTGTGGTCTGTGATTCTATACTACTTTGCACACGTTAATATGTACTAAACAACTTTGAAACTATTCATAGAAAATATCGTTGTTATCAAACATGATCATATTTAAACTATTCTAAGAATGTTTAGTTTGAGATGTCTCTTTGTAGCCCAGGTTTTATAATTTAATCAATCAAAAGTTACTTTAACGTCGTTTTTATATTTATAGCAACCAATTTTAAAGAAACTAAATAAAAATTTAATTTTTTCGTTTTATTTTGTTTTTCATTCCTGAAATAATTCTTGAATATTGTGAGAGACAGATAATTTAAAGTGAACGAAAACTGAACGGAGAGAAAAAATGAGGCATAGCCCATGCCTAGAGGCATTTGTTAAGATAGATAAATAGATGAGGGATTTTTTGTTAAATTTCCCATCTGGCAATCTTATTTTCGCTAGCCTTTTCAACAAAAGCCAGAATATTTTAACTTAGGCTATAGATATTCTAAAAATATAAAAGGTTAGGTCATTCCATTTGAATAAATAAGTGATTTATTGATGAACCATCCTGTATACATGAAAATAATTTTACAGATATTTGCTTTTGACCACCATTGACAGGTAAATCGTTAAGTTTTATATAATACGAGTTGCAGAACTATAACAGAGGTTTTCTGAACCCTGTATAATTTAGTTATATAATAGATAATCCAAAATTAAATGAATATTAAAAATAATTCAAATTCGAATGATTTGATTTTGAACGAAAGACAATAAGAAGTATTGAGATATGTTGAATTTTCAGGTCAGTGAAGGCGGTATGTAGGCTAAACCATGTAGAGGTTTTTTGTATTGCTCATATTCCTTTACACCTGGTCATGTAAAAATATTTGATCATTTTACCACTTATGCCTGTCTATATAAAATTAAGTCCTCTATCTTTTAAATCTACACATGTAAAAATATTTGGACCCTTTATTTCATCATGTAAAATTATTTGGTCCTTTTATCCCTTACAACTGCCCATGTAATAATATTTGACCTATTTATACTTTAAGTCTAATCCAAAATATTTGGTTTCATTACCACTCACGCCTCTCTATCTAAAAATATTTGGACCATTTACCTGTTAAGCCTGCCCATGCCTGGTTTTTGCCTTGTTTGATATATCAAATTCATATATGAGCTCTATTCTGGAATTCGTTAAAACTCGTGAAAAAGTAATCATTACTTTTTATTTCTATTTAAAATAATTATTTTTATTTATCACTTTTGCTTACACTAAATTGCCACACAAATAAAATTCTTTAAAACATTTATGCTAGTGGTTTCATAGTTGACAAGCATGAATATCTAGTGAAATCAGTACCTGCGCTGCAGCACATAAAATAAGCTCCATAAGAAATGCTTTGCATTTTAAAAACACTGGTATTCATTCTAAGCACTATAATTAAAAATATGCATGCTCAGGCGACCCATTTCTGCACGACATTTTTTAGGCTTCAGGATCCATCCAACCAAATTATAAATGTTTTTTGATATTTTTAAACCTTTAAGCGTTGTATGAAGATTATATAGTAGGATAATGCAACAGTAAAAAGTGTTGGACGCAATCTCGAGCGGCATCTAGTGACGATTTAATGAAGTAGTCAATTTTTAATCCTATGCAGATACGCCATCTACGTCTTCTTTTCGTTCAGGTACATGGCCTCTATCACCTACCTATTATAGTTAAAAACGTCTTTATTTATTTAAAAATAACAATTCATAATAAAAGATATGAAAAATTAAACATAATAATGAAAATTTATTCCAGTTGACAAAACCGTACAAATATAATTTTTGGATTAAGGTGATAAAAAGTGGTTAAGGACTTTGGTCAATATTTTGGTTATGTGCGGTTATGTCAAAATCTATAAACAATAACAACTGATAACAATGTCCAATGTTTTAAATAAATTGAAAAGTTCCAAGTAGAATACAAAAAAGGAATAAGCTTCTGAAAATGTTGCATGTAATCTAAGTACCTCTAATTGGACTAAGTGTTGGAAAAGTTTATAACCATAAAAATAGCTGAATATTTTTATAGTTTTCAAAATTTGAACAAGCTTTGCTACAAAATTTTACTAAAGCTATCAACAGTTTGCAAGGTATTGAGTTAAGGAACAAGAAAATCACTAATCAGGGAAAAATCAATCAACAATCAACACTGGAAAACAAATTTAAAAAAATAGTCACAGGGATATATTAGCGACTTCCAAATGTATCTTGGCTGTTGACCATGAATATAAGAAAAAATGTTCTCTCGGCTGGCTCTGAGTGTTGAAATAAATCACGTTGAAAGGAAGTTTTCAATAGCTCCGCTCTTTAGGAATAGCTCAAGACGAAATCGATAGACCTACAAGTGGTCTATCTGTGGCAGACATATTCAGTTAGTCTTTATATTTCATTATGCAATGTTACAAGGTTCAACAACTTGCCAAAATGGTGAAAATTTATTTCCAAAATCAGTGCTCTTATTTAGTACAGAATTCTATGAACGACACAATAATTATAAAGTCCTAACTTTGAACATAAAAGAAAATCTTATAAAAAACATTTTTTTTATAAATTATCACTGTTTGGAAAAGTATATTTGTTTGTAAATATTTGTATTTATAGTTATATTTAATCCAGGTTAAGTGTCAGTGCGGAGTGTAATGTTAAGTATGAACAAAATCCTCCCATTCTGTTTATACATTTGGTTACCGACCCTAGTAGATAGGCAATTTATTATTAGGTACTTTTAATTTAGATTTTGGATTAATGTTTTTGTATATGACTGGGCTGTTTAGTAATAAAGTCAAAACTGTAACACGTGGTTTTATTCTGGAAAGTATT